TTGGGTTTTGGTATACTACAACATCCTATGGTGCTCATACAACCCTACGTAAGTTGGATCTATGTTTTCACTAATTATATATGCAAATGGTTTCCAAGGTATTAATCTTACAACTAGCATGCATTTAACATAGAAAAATAATATACTAGTTAGCATGACATACCTTTTGATGTAGCTTGAATTCTTGGTGTATTTGGCCTTAAAGAGCTTAGCCCTAATAGTGTGGAAACCTTAAATGGAATCACAACACACCATGGACAAAGGATGAACTTTAGAGAGAATTCCATGCACACAAAAGACACCATCAACTCTAAAAAGATACAAGTGGTGATTTTGGGCAATGAAGTATCTGTTTATATGTTGGATTTCTAGGCTCATGGATATAACCCAAATCCATACCCATGGGTTTTATGATCCATGGTTCATGTAGCCTAACTCTTTATGTATCCATACATAAACTTGGTCCAACATGGATCATAAGCCCAACACATATAAATATAACTAATTATCATAATTAGTCCCCATAGATTTAATTAGTCTTTTTCGACCACTAAATTAATTCCAAATTAATTCTTGATCAATACTAATTAAAACATATGATTTCATATTAATATATTATTACTTATAATATATTAATAAACCATAAATAACCTTCTCTCAAAAGTCCATCCTAACAAATTGTCCTGATGATATGCAACCCAAATGGACCATGCTACTCTCGGGTCGAATACATACCAATAATAGTTATGGGCTTAGACACCTAATCCAACAGTATCATACATGATAGATCTAACGGTGGAAGCATATGGAACTCTACTCATTTATGTTATCTCTCTCATCGGTACTCGGGCTCTAAATCTTACCCAATTTGGTATTACTCTGTATAGGAAACTTTCCCTTCTTGGAATTTTCCATACTAAAACATTTTATCACTTTTTCCAAGTATGTACTTTAATTAAGTCCAATTAGTTGTTACTCATGTCTCTCAGAATCCTTATCCCTAGAATATAGGTAGTCTCTCCTAGATCCATCATAGCGAAAAGCCAAGACTTTACTTCTTGCAAAGTTGGAATGGTGTTTCCTATAATAAGTATGTCATCAACATAGAATACAAGTAAGGTAACTATACTCCCACTAGCTTTGACATATACACAAGACTCATCTTCACTTCTAGAGAAACCAAACTCTTTGACCTTCTCATCAAAGCAAAGGTTCTATCCGTGAGAAGCTAGTTTCAATCGATAGATTGATTTCTCAAGCTCACACACTCTATTCATACACTTTGCATCTACAAAACCTTCTGGATGACTCATTTAAACATCTTCAGCCAGTTTCCCATTAAGGAAAGTAGTATTGACATCCATCTATCAGATTTCATAGTCATGAAAGGAAACTATGGCTAGCTTTACCCTAATAGATTTTATCATGGATACTGGTGAGAAGGTGTCATCATAGTCAACCCCTGGGGTTTGAGTAAAGCCCTTAGCAACCATTAGAGCCTAGAGGTGTGTACCTTTCAATCCATGTCGGTCTTCTTTAAGATACATTTGCACCCACTGTCATACGACCTGGTACATTATCAACCAAATTCCAAACATGACTATGATACATGGACTTGATCTTGCGGTCCATTTCCTCTTTCCAATTGGCTTACTCTGAGCCTACCATTGCCTCATTGTAGTTAGCTAGTTTATCAAAATTTAACAATGTACTATCACTAATAAATGTATCACCATTTGTAGTGATATGGAAACCATATAACTCAGGTTGCATTCTAATTCTAGTGGAACGCCTAAGAGGTAATGATTTGTCAACCGGTTCAACTGGAATTTCTTCCTAAGGTTGAGGCCCAGAATCTTCATAGGTTCCTTTATTGTTTAACTCTTGAATATCTTCAAGATCAATGGTAATCCCACTTTCCTCTTTGCATATGAGCTCTCTCTCGTGAAAGACTCCCATTCGTGCTACAAAAACAACGTTCTCACTAGGTCTGCAAAACAAATATCCAAAGAAATTTTCTGGGTAGCCGATGAAAATACATCTCTCACTTCGAGGTTCAAGCTTGTCATGAGTCTCTCGTCTAACGAAAGCTTTATAACCCCAAACCTTGATATGTGCTAAAAAGGGAACCTTCCCTATCCATATCTTATGAGATGTTTTGGAAACCTTCTTTATTGGGACAAGATTAAGAATGTGGGTGGCAGTCTCTAAGGCATACCCCAAAAATGAGTTTGGAAGTGAAGCTCGACTCATCATGGAATGAACCATGTCCAACAAGGTTCAATTACGCCTCTCATCCACACCATTAAGTTGTGGTGTTCTAGGAAGAGTGAATTGTGAAACTATTCCATATTCTTTGAGATAGTCATGGAACTCGATACTAAAATACTCACCGCCTCTATCAGATTTAAGTATCTTTATCTTCCTACCCAATTGATTCTCGACTTCTTGCTTAAATGCTTTGAACTTTTCAAAGGTTTCAGGCTTATGCTTGATTATGTAGATATAGAGATATATGCTACAATCATCAGTAAAAGTCAAATAGAATAGATTTGCATACCTTATGGTAGATCTAAAGGGCCCACACACATCTGCGTGTATGAGGTCCAAAAAACCTTCACCTCTCTCACAAGATCCAGTGAATGATGATTATGTCATCTTACCCAATAGAAAAGATTCGTGTGTATCATCTGGCATTAGGTCAAATGATTCCAACACTCCATCCTTTTGGAGTTGGACAATGCGATTCTTGTTAATGTGTCCAAGACGAAAATGCCACAAGCATGCTTTGTGTAAACCATTAGACGAATCAATTTGAAAAACACTATTTCCTACATTGTCTACAATCATCACAACTTCATACACACCGGCACAAGGTAAAGCTTGAAAATAGAAAACACCATTTTTATAAGCAGAAATAGAACCATTCTTATCGTTAAAAGAATATCTAAAACCTTGTTTAAACAATGCATGAAAATAAATTATGTTTCATTTCATTTCTGAAGAGTAGCAACAATTTATTAAGTCTAATCCTAACCGACTACCAGGCACTAAGCCATAAAGTCCAATCTTGGTTACAGGTGAAGATCGCCTATTCGCCATGATTAAGTTCATCCTTCCATGATCTACATCCTAACTTCTTTTTAGCCCTTACAAATCAGAACAAATGTGAAATCTACATCGTGTACCAAAGACCCAAGAACAAGAATATGATGAGTTATTAGATAGGATAGTGTATATATCTGCCGAAGTTGGCTTCACCTTGCCATATTTGATATCTTGCAAGTATTTTGGGTCGCTTCGTTTCTAATTCCCTTTGTCGTTACAATAGAAGCAAGTGGCCTCTTCAGGATCAGAGATAGGGGAGCATCAAAACTGGATTTTGCCTTGGGTTCATTACTAAACAAAGCAACTTGTGATTTCCCTTTCCATTTTGCTTAGGAGGACCTTTCCTCTTTTTCCCTTTCCCTTGACATATGGCCAGAACTGGAGTAGCAGCAGGATTGGAGGCAAGACCCTTTCCCTTCATTCCTTCTTCAACTGTTCACAGGAGGTTCTATGGTTGAAACAAGGTTGTCTCATTGTTGTTCAAATGATAAGTTAAAATGAACTGATCATAACAACTAGTTAGAGAGTGCAAGACTATATCAATAGCCAATTCCTGATCAAAGTTTACATTGAGCTTGATCAAACAATCCACATATCATTGCATCCTCTGAATGTGGCTACTCATAGACTCTACATCTTTCATCTTGCTTGTTATGAAGGACTTTACCTCGTACTTTTCTTGACGAGCTCACTTATCGTACTTTTTCATAAGGTCCTGGTTCATATTGTACGACAAATAATCATCATAGTGTCTTTGCAACTCACGAGTCATTGTGGACCCATTGTAATGTTCCTTGCAGGAAACCATTTCTTTAGGAGTGGCCTTCTCTTCGTCGATCTAATCTAATGGTCACTTGAGGACATATTTCTTGTCCTCAAAACGAAGGGTCGTCTCTATGTTGCGCATGTAGTCATTATAGTTGGTGCCATGCAGTTGCAACTTAGAGCATATCTTCAACAAAGAAAAGTTGCCGCTGGAGGAGGAATAGGAACCAAAAGCATCATTTGGAGTAGACATCTAAAAAGGAAGAAATATAATTTTAGTTAGATAAGAATAATACTTAATATAACACCCAAAATGAAATATTAAGGCTAGTATCCCACTAGATAATTCACAACTTAGAAAATGGATGACATAATCTAATTGTAAAATATTTAAAGGTAGGTAAATGATGATTTATGAATTTCACCATAAGAAAACGAAATTTAAACGAAATAGGTTTTAATTAATGAAATTTCTAGATCTTTAGAGATTCATTGAAACTCTTCAATGGCATGTTTAATCTCGATTATGCTCTTCTGTTTGTGACTGGAATACGAAGGATCACAAACAAGATGTGAATAACCATGCAAATGTGTTTCGTACTCTCGCTGTCATTTATCATCTCATTTTAATGTGCCGGTTAACTATATGCGCTCCATTAATCAAAGATAATTTTTGAGACACCTATTGCCACTCTTTATTTATCCCTATAAGTGTGCCAGTTAATCACACACGTTCCACTAACGATTTATAAAGAGTAATCACTACTAGAAAAACAGCTTTTTACGACGCGCAAACCACGACACTCATTAATTTATGTTACGCAAACGAGAGTGACATTAAAAAAGTGTCATCTATTCAGAAAATTGAAGGATTTAGGTTACGCATTATTGCGTGCCTTTAAATTAGTGTCATAAGAAAGAAAAATTAAAAACATGGAGATGGAGGGCGTTGTATCTTAAATGTGCGTCCTCTATAGGTATCGCTTTATAATTTTTATGAACGCACGTTCCTTAGTTACAAGCGGGAAAAGAAAAGCCAAAAAAATTAGAAAAGCCCACTACCCTCTTTGCCCTAAATAGTTTTGACGCATCTTTCATTCTCCTCACACTGTTGTGCAACTTCTCAATCAAAGATCCAAGGTTACGATTTCATCTCCATCTCTCGAATTCATCATCTCAATCAAGAAAAAAGGCTTCTGATTTCCATTCGTCTGCTTCATCTCTGCTGTGATTTCACCTGTTTCATCTCTGCTATTCTTGAGAATACTCACCAACAGTGTTCTTGCACTATTCCTTGACCTGCTTCTTTCCTTATTCTTTTCTCCGCAATATCTTCAAAGACATTCTCACACGCTTTCTCAAAAAATCATTTGTTCTCTCTCAAGAACTCTAGCCGTCACTCACACCACCATATTTGTACTGTGTTCTGTTCGGATGTATAGGCATCGATGAAACAAGGAACCATGATATGGAAGGCCACCCAAGTATTAACTCTTCAAGATTCAGACCGCCAAGGGTTCATTGATTTATATTTCCCATGTTAGAGTTTTTGGCCAATGTTTATCATTTTCGGGTTTCTTAATTACCCAGGTCTGGATACTTTAGTATTTCTTTGATTTCCTTTTCCTATTTTACTGATTTTTATTTATGGGTTATCTCCACACGATGCACACAACCTGTTTGATGAAATAACCGAAGCAAAAAGAAACTTACAGTCCACCAATGGCGATGGCAGCTCCAACAGCAAATACAGTTCCTCCGCTAGCTCCATTATACATCACCATCCTGCTACCATACCAAGACAAAAAGGACCAAACTGCAAAAATGACACCTTTGCTGCCAATCGCTGTTCCTTTAGCCAAGCCTTGCTTTAACCCTAATTTCACAGTACCTTGAAGAGCAGCAGAGTACTCTGTTATCGTCTTGTTTTCACCCACAAAAGAATAAACGGTCCTCATGGATGAAATCGTCTGCTCCGCCACTGTACTCCTCTCTAATCTTTCTCGACAAGCTCATAAGAACCCTTCCGTAAATCAAACCAGGTATAACTAAAACTATAATAAACGGAAGCCCAACAATCGCTAGCCTCCATAGTAATATAAATGCAACAACATACACCCCTCCAAAAATTGACATGTTCATCAAGAACACAGGTACCTGCATTTTTATTTCCACTTAAAATTCAAACACTTGTAATGATTTTGGACTCATGGAGTCATGGTCATGAACGCACTCTTCCAAGTTCTATTTTAGTTTTTCTCAAATTATGGCTTACCAACTGTATGATGAAATGCCTGAGAGAAAAATTACAACCAAAAGTGCATTTTGATTCCCTTTCAAACACTTCAACTAACTGACCATATTACCCTTGTGGTAGTTAACTTTTGTATCATTAGTGAACTAAACTTGGTTCTCTGTAATGTGCAGACAAGGCAAACTGCTCTCTTTTCTGTAACTCAAACAAAGAAGGTAAAACCTTTTTTCATACACATTTGTATATTTTAACTCTTTATTTCATTTTTTAAATTAAATCAAGATAATATTTATATATTTATTTATTTATCTATATACTTGTTCAGAAGCACTCTGGGCTTTCTCGTTGTGGTAAAATTTGTCGTTTAAGGTGGGCAAATCACTTAAATCTTGATCTCAAAAAGGTGCATTTACACCAGAGGAAGAACGCCACATCATTGAACTCCATGCTAAAATGGGGAACAAATGGGCACGCATGGCTATTGAGGTCTATTCCTCTACTTTCTTTCCTAATTATTTTTTTTTCTTTTTAATTCCAATCCTTCCTTAGCTGCTATATCCAAGCAAGTTGCATACATTCATACTCTTTTGTGAATGTAAATTGATATTGGTGATCATAAGTTTTTGTTTATACATACATACATGCTTTAAAAGTTATAAATGGCGACGATGACAGGTTGGTCATTTCTATGTAGATAGGACATAACATAATGGTCCTTTAAAACACTCTAAAAAAAGAAATGCACATGGTGTGTTCATTTAAGGTGTGAACGAGGGAAAACAGTAAATTAGAGAGTATAAATATGAAGATAATTAAATAAAAACTGATGGTTCTTATTGTTCCCTGCATTTATTTCATCTGTTAATTCCTTTTATCTCTTTAAGAGTCTAATACTTCACATACTTGAATAAACTAAAAGATGAAGATAACTAAATAAAAAGTGAAATACAACTGTATTATTGTTTGTTTCTCATATTTCCACAACTGATTAGTTTAGACAAAACTTTTAAAATTCATCTGCACATCTCATTTCATGATCAATTCTTTATCTTCAAGTATTAGTGACACTATTCACATGAAGCTTTGAGATGAAAGCAAAGGCAACACCCAAAAAAAAACTGTTGAATTTCACCAAAACATCACCAAGGGCAAAATGGTCAAAAGTTGAATCTACTGCCTCTGTTGTTTACCCTGTTGAAGGATAGCAATTGAATCTTATTAAACACTGCATCTTGATGATTTAAAACTCTTGATTATTTAAAAGTTTTCCTAAAAGATTTAGCTTTGAGGTGGGAGAAGATCATAACTGATGTTCCTGGAAGTTTAAAGGCAGCTTGCATGAAGAGGGTTGCTAATCATAAAAAAGAAAGGCCCTGTCATATTGCCATCATCGGGCCATCTCCATTGAAAAATTTGTTAAACTTTATATTCTATAATATGATAATATATATCAGTATCTATCTCTGCTACCGAATCACACGAGCTTAATACCTAACATTCATTATAGACATTTAAAACCAGAATTATTCCCCAATTTTGATGAACACTTATCTAATTACTGCGATCTCTGAACAGAAGAAACTTCGATTAGAATGTTGTATCACCAGAATTTTAACTATTAATATAACTCGTTAACATTAAATCACCTTCAATAATGTGGTATCTTATATGTTAGTTTCTTCTGAGATAGGTTAGTTTGTGTTGTTTGTTGTTGTATTGTACTTTTTTTAGCATCTTACGGATAATTTATTCCATGTTAATTTTGGTCCTAGGTTTTGGCCAATTAAAAGCAACATTTATATTTTGTAGATATAGTTAGTTATGAGAGTTTTCTTGTTACTTTTGGTTGTATATAACTTGTGGATTCTGGATAGCATTGGCCGATGGACTAACCCAACCCAAATGAATTTTAAAGTTTAAACAATATAACCAGGCAGGATCATATAACTAATTACTAGTCCCCCAACCGAGAAAAATCTTGGATCTGCAACCAAGAAAAAAAGAAGGTATGTTTTCCCAAGAAATAAAATAAATTTTAAGGTATTGAATTATCCTAGAAACTCATATAATTGTCGCTTAATTCATTGTTTTGGTTATAGAGCTTTCAAACAACACAAACTAACATTATGGAAAATTGTAGAATTTGGTTGGTTGGTTTTGAATGTTGTGACTGTACGCAGCATTCTATTATATTCCATTGCAGGGATTTTGGAGCCAAAAAAATGCATAAGGATTTGGTTGCATCTGCTAGGATGAAAGATGCAATGGATGTAGAAAGCGATAGACTAAGCAGCTTGCCAGACGATCTTATCCATAAAATCATTTATTTTATTAGTATCAAAGATGCAATAGCAACCAGTGTTTTGTCATCTAAATGTTGAATTTTTTCTTCTTTTTGCGCACACAGACACACACAACACACCCGGTTTTCTTTCTGACTCTGTCATGCAGAAATCGTTTCATCACTAATTCCCTCATTCTCTTATGAGTATAAAAAATTAGCTACATCATTAACCTAATTTGTGAATTATTGATTTTGTTAACTGATCGAACACGGGAAACTCGGGGAAACATGTGATTTCTTTCTTAGGTATCTAATTGCTAATTTTATAGCTACATCATTAACCTGCTATGGTTTCTATTTGAACTTTGAAGTGTTTTCTACCTTTTTGACCATTTTACCCCTGCTTTGTGTTTTGCTTAGCTGTTGTGTTTGGTGGTCTCAAGTTTTTTCCCACACTTTTGGAGCTATGTGGAGCATTCTAGATGGTCGTAGTGGTCAGTCTAAACAGGTTTGCAGTAATGAATTTTAAAGAATTAGCATTTTTCATAGGTTTCAACTACAGTCTATTATTTACTTTTTATATGATATAAAGGCTTAACATGGGTTTCAATGTTTCATGCAATTTAGAAAGCAAATTAAAACAGAGCTTTGAAAATTTAATATATGGCAATGTCCAATACTAAAATGTAGCCAATAATTAGTTATTCATCCTTCCATGGTCTTATTTTCTATTTCTATTTTAATCACCTTTTTATTATCATTATTATAATAATAATAAAATGTGTTTAAAAAACTGATTCATTTTTTCTTTTTATTTCTCCTCAGTACCCTAACCCCAACTGGTGTTGAAACTCCAGATGTTATCGACCTCCGCAAACAGCAACAACAAAGGAAGGAACCCGAGAAACCTCTGTATCAGGTAGCTTTTTCTTTTCATGCTTATATATATATATATATATATATATATATATATATATATATATATATATATATATATATAATACAAATGTTTTTATATATATTTAAATAATATATCCAGTGGTTTTACTTTTATCATTTATGTTGTATGATTTGGTAAAGGTGCTGGAGGAAAAAGAAGAGAAGATAGCCCCAGGAGCTTTGCTTGGAACTACACATACGTATGCAATCTACCTCTTTCCTTTTTTTTACTTCAATAATCAATATAATGGATTTATATGTTCAAAGGTAATTTTTGGAATAAGATCTTTTTGATTTTGGTTGCAGGTATGATGATGAGGTGGGTATTGGCAACAACTCCCTTTGTCTCCTATACTTTGTCAGATCACACCCTTTAATTGTACATAATTCACTATTGCCTTAAAATTGCAGAATTTGGTTGAAGGATACTTGCTTAGAGCTGCTCAAAGAAACTCATGTATTTTTAGGGACATGTACAGATTAGTGGTCAGCCACGTGTCAAGGTATTCTTTTATTTATTAAGATGTTATCTAAAGTTCTTAATACTTCACACAAGTTCTTAATATTTGCTAATTTTCTGCTTTCATATCTTTATGGTATGGAAGTGCAAAATGGATCCCAAATTGGTATGGCATTTGGGATCCCCTTCAAAGGTGTCTCAAGGTAACATAACATATCTATTTATTGTTGGAGTCTTTATATATTAAGTACATGCAATCAGAATATTGACACCTTTATATGTATTGTGTATTTAAATAGTGATTTTAATGATCTTGTAGGACCTAGATACGTTCACTGCAGCTATTGTTGTGAGTATTGCCTTCTCTTTCATTCCTGCTTCGTTAGTTGTTGCTATTATGAAGGTAGGCTACTCTCCGGTTGTATTTTTCACATAATTGACAAGGAGCTGTTGTATCTATTCAGACTAGGTTTAGAGCAATGGTTGCAAGAGATGAGTTCAGAAGAAGAAGAAGAAACAAGGTTGCAACTATAGTTTAGGTACTATGGATGAATTATGTTTTTAAAGTATTTAAGAAAATGATTAGAAACAAGGGTGAATTTGTACAGATTAGTTAGCTACTTGCAGGTTGATCTTGAATAAGCAAAGGGGCAATGGATTGTATTTTTTGTATCTAATTCGTTTGTAAATTTTTGTTACAACTTCTATTGATTTGTTTTATCTTTCCATGGAACGATTATTTGTATGACATTAAATTTATGCAATGGATTCTATTTTTTGTATATGATATTTTATTTTCTATTATGAAACATTAAATACAAATTTAATTTGAAAATAAGTAAATGTATAAATAATATTTTGCTAAACATTTAAAATTATGATACGCAAAAATGTGTGTCATCTTCATTTATGACATGGCCTTTCTTGACAGCAGCTTTCTTGATACGCATTGCATGTCATAAACGCGCGTCGTAATTGCGCGTCGTCTCTCTTTATGACAAGGCCTTCCTTGACGCGCATTTGCGCGTCCTCTGATCCTTTTACGACGCGCAATGAACGTCGTAAAAGGTTGTTTTTCTAGTAGTGAATGTGTAATTTCATGGGTTAGCATACAAATTCACATTTTCCCTAAAGTAACTATGATTGGGAATTTAAAAAAATAGTTACTTTATAACTCATTATACTCATTAATGAGAATGAATTTTGTCCTATTAAACCCGTTCGACTAACAAACCTCCACCATACAAGAGAGTCGTGGGTAAGAGTGGCGGTCTCTTTATAGGTCACTTCCTTAAACTCCCCTTATAGCATGGCCTCGTGAATGAGGCATACTAGTGGTTCGACTGACTTATTCTTATACATATAGTAATAATTAATCTTTTAATTTTACATATAGTATAAGGTGTATTTTAAAACTTTTCAAAATACTAGGTTTAAAGTTTTAAATTTGGAATATTAAAAAAAAAAATTAATTTAAAATTAAACCAAATGATTTAATAATTATCTATTAATTAAACTTTTAATTAATTTTATTAAATCAATTGAGGATTATCCAATTAAATAAATCAATATAATTTAATCCTAATCCTTCGCCCTAAATTTCGAAAAAAGGGTAGGGATAATCCAATTTTATAATTATCTTATTTAACTAGACAAACAGAAAATTACCAAACATAAGAAAACCCAAATCCATGGGATACCATTTTCGAAATTACCATGCTTGGGGAGGAAGGTAAGGATTTCAATCCTTACCTTATTTTCGAAATCCTGATGGGGCAAGGAACCCCTATCCAAATTGAAAACTTGGAGGGCAAGGCAAAGGGTTTCAACCCTTTTCTTAAATTTCGAAACTTACGGCCTAAGAAAGCCTAATTTTGAAACCCTTGTCCAAGAGGGTTTGATTGCCATAAATCCTGATTGATCAATTCAACTATTGCAATCAATTCAATAGAAAACAAGTCAAGGCTCTGATACCACTGGTGAGTTTTATGCAAAACAATAAAATCCATTATGTGCATGCAGCCCTAAGTTTGACCTATGTTTTTTCTAATTGAACATAAAACATTGAACATCAAATAAGAACCCTAAGGATACCTAGGTGGTTTCGAGAATTAGAAATATAGAAAGTAAACATACCTTTTGATCCTTTGGAAGTAAGCACCACAATTGTCGTGCCTCTAGTCGTTGACACCCAAATTAGCAAGAAGGATGAGGAGGAGAGATGATTTTCGGCATATACTCTCTAGGGTTTGAGGTGCCGAATTTGAGAAGGTTTAAGGAAGTTTATATAGGTGAGGTAGCTTAGAGCCAAATTTAGGGTTTAAGGAGGAAACCCTAATCCTTTTTCTTGGTGACCAAGCGACCCATAAACCTCCATCCAAGAGCCTTTGGTCGAAAATTCTAGGCCCTTCCTAGAGTTTGCCAAATATCCCCTACACTTTTAATTGATACACTTAATCCTAAAATTAATTCTATTTAATTTTTGATCAACTATTAATTCAATAAAATGATTTCTAATTAATATATTATTTTCAAAATACATTAATAAATCAATTATTTGAATTTATTAATCAAATAATAAATTAACCTCTCTCTCTAAAAATCATCATGTCAAATTTTTAGGTTTGAGGGCAACCCAAATGGAGTGTGCTACTATCAATTCAAGTTTATACCAATTATAGTTATGGGCTTAGATACCTAATCCAACAATTAGATGTGCTTGGAATCTAATTTTGGCATGTCGTGTTGGCAGGGTTGGTATTTGGATGGATCTGATTAGAGTTTTAGCAACATTTCTGGACTACTTAAAGGTTTTATCAAGATAGTTACATGTTGATGGGGTCTATTCAGTCTCAATCAAGGTATGAGATCTTGTATCGATCATTCATGAGGGTGTATTTTGTTAATGATCAGGGTTCGCCATTTCGTTAGAACTCTAGTACTTTTCCCTTTTTGGGTAAGGTTATGGGTTCCTATGGGTGTGTATTGTGGTAAGTTCATTAGATATTGTTATGATGGGTGTATGTGGGCTGGACAATATAACAATGGAGCACTTTATTCGAATGATATGCATGGTTCTTATATGGGTTATAGCCTTTGAATTGGAACAAGTGTACCACCATTTATCACATTCTCGGGTCATGTGCAACCATGTTTTCGTTGAATTTTATGTTGGTAGAAGCTCGTACTATGAAAGGAATTATGCGTGAAAAAACAGTATCACATTGTTACGCTCGGTTAGTGTTGAGAGGGATGTTGATTGGGTTCTTACAAGGCGGTGGAATGAAGTTGAGTATATTTAGGTCCCGTGGTGCTGGTCATGAATTTCCAGGAAAATGATGGAATATTGAAAAGATCGGTGTAATACCGGGAGCATTCCAGAGATAGGTTGTGGGCCTAGTGATCATGATATTTTATTCCTTCTACTTGTGGTACTTTCGGTGTTGGTGTATTATTGGAAGTTGGGAGACTCACGAACCAGCTGGTTTAGATAAAAGTGAGTAGTTAAGGGTTGTTGGGAGTATCAATCGTATATCAGAAAGTCTCTGCGGAATGTTTGCATTATGAATCCCGTTGTTTGCAAGCTGTTATTAGGGGTTTAGTTACCAAGGCTGGGTATCACTTTTGGAGTCTCGAGTCGTGAAGTTCATTGTGAAAGTCTCGAGTGATTTCCAGGTGGGGGTACACCTAAGCTGAAAAGGGTTGGATGCAATGTGAAAATTCTTGGATTGATCATCTTTGATCGTAGGAGTAGTGGTTGGTAATGACGTGTTAGGGAGTCAATGGGTTATTTAAGGTTTCTGGTACATCTTATGAATTTGGAATTGGTTGAAATTTACGATCGATGTGTTTTGATTAGTTTATTCCTTGTGTTTGTTCTTAGTTAAAGACAAGGAGTGGTTCATAGAATGGATGAATATAAATCTTGGAATATAGGTTCTGAAGTTTAGATTTTGGGTCACTGAAAGCATATTGAGAGAGTTGATTCGGTGATTGTAGATTTGAGAGTCCCCAACTCGAAGGTTCTCTCTAGAAATCCAGTCCTATAGCTAGGAAGTTAAGGAATATGTTGGCATTGTACGTATTTGTCTACATTAGTGAATGGTTAGGAGTCCTGATTCCCAGTCATATCAGCAAGGTAAGTCAGGGTCAGAAGGGTTCCGTATGGTTCATATTGTCAAGATAAGTTATAATAATTGCGTTCCGAGATAGTTTTTCCTTGGTTAAGAGTCAGTCGAGGTATTGGATTTTTGAATTTTAGGATAATTGTGATGGGTTTCTTCAACGATAAAAGTTAGCAGGTCAAGGATTCGTTATTTGTCTGGGTGCATGAGTTTCGTTAAGATTGGGTTAAGGATAGTATGGGAAGGCAGATTCCTGAATGAGTTGACTTTTAGTTCAGATCGGGTTCTAGGGAGGACCGTATGAGTGGCCCATGGTAGAGATGTGGGAACACAACCATAGGTTAGTTGCAGCAGCGGACTTCGAGGATGAAGTCCGATTTAAGTGGGAAAGAATTGTAACATCTTGATTTTCAAGTATCTACTTTTTAGCCCTTTAGTATTGGAATTGTTTGCAATTTGACCTTATGTATGTGTTTTGGTGACCTTAAAGGAAGGGGAATGTCGTGGAAACATCTGAAGGACTCGAAGGGAGCTTATATCTAGAAGTACCTCCCCTTTAGACATCATTTAAATGTAAAAAGCTGTGAACCTGATGAATAGTGTGTTGAATTAGGTGTCTAAGCTCATAGCTATAATTGGTATGTACTTGACCCGATAGTAGCATGGCCCTTTTGGGTTTCCTTCACCGGAGCAATTTGATAGGATGGATATTTGAGAAAGAGGTTATTTAGGATTTATTAATATATTATACAAATAATATAGTAATTAATAAATCATATTATTTAACTGTTATTGATCAAGAATTAATTTGGAATTAATTTAGTGATCAAAAGATACTAATTAAATTTACGGGGACTGATTAGGTAAATCAGTAATACTTATAGTTTGGCCCAATGATTCATGTTTGATTAGGGATGTGATAAACCTATATGAGAATCCATGAAGGTTTAATCTAAAGGGCCTATGAAATGTGAAGAGTCATGGTGAATTATGGTTTGCATGGAAGAAACCCTAGGAATTCCACACTATAAATGTAACCCCTAACACCCTAAAATCGGCAGTTGCATTCCATAGTGAAACCCTAGCCGATTTTGTGTTTCCTAACCTCTCTCGCATAAGCCTCCTCTTTCTTTTGGTATTTATAACACATTAGAGTTATCACACTTGAGGTACTAAGCTCTTGAAAAGCCAATGATTACAAGATACATCAAAGAGGTATTCTTCAAACTAGTTTTTATGTTGTATACATTAGAGTTATCACACTTGTATGTGCACCAAAAGGATGTTATAGTGCTCAAAACCCATTGGTGGTATCAGAGCATATGGTGTTTTCTGTTATATTGATGAAATTGTGTTATTTTAATAGCTAAAAAAAATTCATTTTATGCCTCTGACTGTTGGAATCAATGAGTCCC